TTAATTGCAGAATTAAAAATTAAAAATGACGAAGTTACAAAATTCAAAATTATTAAATGACACAATTAATAATTTTCAAAGAAATATGACGGCAATATCCACCGCTAAACGAGCAATGAATCAGAAAAAAGAAAATGCATCTTCAAAGCCCAAGTTTCAAAACTCGATATTCCATATCGCTCCAACCCCAATCCTTGGAGGCGCCCTATGTACACACAGAGATATATCCTTGGCAACTCTAGATTTCAAAATACATCAATACTCCCAAACAACGCGTCCTTTGTAGCTCGAAGAACGAAAGCAAACACGTCACCGTATTCACGATCTATCATTTGGTTCGATTCCAGGTTCAGTCGATTCCACGTCGCTCTCCGTATCCATGGAACTTTTCCACCAGCTCGCAACCACCCGACCCCACTCAACGAAGGGCTGCGACGGAATGGCCGTAAGCACTCGGGATGGGAAAAGCGTGGGTGCATGTCGGAAATTCGTAGGAAGCTCCTTGGCGCCTGATATGCACACAGCATCAATATCATTGACCTTGATCCTGTGGCGGCGGGTCATCGGCGATGCAACACGATAATAAAGCCCGATAGGCGGATAATGATGCAGAAACGCGTTCGACGTAAATGGATTTGGCATGTGCGATGGGAGTGGCGAATGGGTTTCGCGGGCGAAAGAGGAGACGTGTGTGTGCGTGCGAGGGAAAAAGGTGAAAACAGCGTGTATCGCGGAGCGAGAGAAACTGAGACGGAGAGAATCTTTGGTTACCACTCTCCTGATGCAACGTGACGTTGAAAGAGAAGAAAGAGCAAGAGGAGTGTATAAATGTGATAAAGGAGTGAAGAAGAAGAGGAGCGACACAACGACGACGACGACGTCGAAAAAGGAGGAGGACGAAGATTGGAAGTGGTGGAAACGACGCCGGCCCTGCTGTACAGTGGTGGTGGTTGATGTTGTTGGTAGAGGTGGCGAACATCGTCCGAGAACCCAGAGAAGTGAGCGTTGACCGTGATCGGGAGAGGGTGCAGTGGGGGTTCGAGGTTGTCGTTGCTAGAGTGGGGGAAAAGCATAGTCACCGAGTGGAGAGCTTAGCCGTTAGGTCGTTCAGTGGTTCCGCGTGGCTGTATGGTACGTGTATATACGGTGATTTGCGCACGTGTGCCTTTAGACGTGTCAGTGTACATCGGTTTGGTTGCGAAGGGGGGATAGGGACGAAGGGGAGGTATATCGCTACGAGGAGGAGTGGGGGAAAGAGGCGACGGAACCGCGCGCTCCGCGGCCTCCCACGACGTGGATCGTCATTCCTAGCCGAGTCTTTTCGACGCTCGCGACGACGCTTCTCCAGCCCGGCACAATCAAAACGATCCTCTCACCGAACGCACTCGACTAATACCTTCACGCCTCCGATGTACGCTTGTGCAGAAACGACACGGTCCTCCGCGTTGTAACAGCGTGCCGTTTGCTTTCGGTGGCTCCTGCCCTAGTGTCAATCCAAAGGAAAAAAGAAAAAAGAGAAACGAGAGTCACGTCACAATTCGATCTTTCCTCCAGTGCTACTCAACACCCTAACCCCCCCACTCCTTGGAAGCTTCGCCTATTCACCACTCGGTCTCCCACCCTCGGGGATCCTTTTAGTCTGGTCACATCCCCCGTGAGAGAGAGACGCACAGGCAAGGAGAAAGCGTAGAAGAAAGCCGTGAAAGAAAGGAGGAGGATCAGTGCGAGCACGTCCGTCGACGGGGTCGATTCAGATTGTTCAGAGTACATACGACACACGGTTCGTTGGTTCGACAAGGCTCACCTCTGGTGTGCTACTACACGCGGTTTCCACTGGGATATATACATACGCATACACACGTGTATATGTATATATAAATATACATATATATTACTGTTCGCACCAATTCTGTGCGGTGCACTGCTGTTGAATCTACTCGCGTGTGGGTGTCCACGACGACAGCGAGGAGAGAACGATTTTCGTTCAGACCGCCAAAAGTGAATCCCGACGATCCAGAACAGGAGGAGCAGAAGTTCGACAGCTGAGAAACTAGCTCGTTCGGAGCGCGAGAATAAACGCGCACACAGCTTACCAGAGGCGCTCTTTGCGATATCGACAACGATCGATCGTGACTTCTTTTAACGAGGATGTCGCACAAGATGCAGAATCAGGGACCGCCGGTTCACGGGGGCAAGTTTCAGGTGAGTTTTGTTACGTTTTTTTTTTTATTCGATTTTTAATTCGCTTCTTTGTTTTTGTTGGTTTTTTTTTCTTCTTTTGTCTCGTTTGTTCGTACGATTTGGCGTGAGCGTGACAATAGACGGATTGTATCAGCGCGATAGATATTCGCCGTTTAATCCGGTGAACGACGCCGATTGTTGTCGATCCGG